ACAAGACAATGGAAAAAAAAAGAGAACTTACTAACTGGAACTGATGATTCCGTGCATTCATACGAGAATCTGAAAAATGATAAATTTTGATGTTTCTTTCAAATTTAACTCCGGTCGATATTTCTTACTAGCTCACATCTGACGGTTACAAAACTTTTGCTCACTTCATCTTTAACATCTTTGCATAAAATTCCATATATTTCATATTCGATAATAACCACACGAATTCAATATTTGCTTTACATTCAAGGCTTTACATTTTTCTAATTTTATCCCATATAAGCTAATATACTATTAATGTAAAATAAAATTACGCTATAAATTTTCAACAAAAATGCAGATGAAGCAGACCGAAGAAAAATATCAGCCATGGACAGGTGACATTCAAATGTCATACCTGATATCAAAAATAACTCATTCACCAAAATTACACGGCTGCTCTTCCATGCAAGATGGAGTATGCTACACTGATCGTGTCTCTCTACGACATAGCTTTACTCCATCCATTAAGGCTGGAAGGGTATGATGATGTGGAGATTAACGTGGAGTGGTATGCCATATGGATGTAGTATGACGTAACGTGACGTGACATATTACATAATCGCATTTTCTGCATATTCATTTAAATTTATTATAAAAAGGAAAGGAGAAAATGTAGACGTGATCAGTCAATTGTTCCCTTTCATTGATACGGTGGTTTATGGGATTTTATAGTTTTAAGGTGTAAGATAGTTTGCTGAAAAAAAAGCGCAATGAAAGAAGAAGATATGTTGATGAAAGAAGTAAGTAACAGTGATTTACTGGAAAGTTTCCATGGATATGATAATCGGATGGGTTAGAGCTATTTGAAGTAGCAATTGAATTGATTCAATTCATTCAATTATCTGTACTATTGTTAATCGGATCGACCATATAAATCCATCCCTTCTCTATCCCACCTCTCCTCTTTTTAATTGCTAAAATGGATTGGTTAAATGAATTTATTCCTCGATGGTGCAAATATCATGACCCGTATTTTGAGTAATTAAAGGCAGTCCGACAAACAGTTCAATTGTAATACTTTCATTGAGGGCAGGAGCACTTTTGTGATTATTTCACAATTTAATGTTAATAAAATTCTTCACCTTCTTCCAACTGACAAAATTCAAAATCAATTCAATGGAAAGAAAATGATATGATAAGTTTTAGGATGATGTTAAGGGAACGAGGACAAATATGGAAGAAGTGAGACAAGTTATTATCGCTTTAAAGGTTTTTCATTAAATAATCAAAAATTTATCGGAAGAACGAAAAAAAAAACCTTAAAAAATTTAAGCCATTACAGTTTACGAAAGAATGGAGAGAAAAAAAAAATTTTTTTTTGAAAAATTAGATATTTCCAATTTCTTTCTTCTTTTCCGTTGTTCGAGTTCCACCCAGTTCTTCAGAAATTATATTTTTTCATGTGAAACAATTTTTTTTTTCTTCTTTTTTGTTAAAGGACAAATTGATGGAAAGACATTTAATGTCGAAAAAAATTGCGGAATTGGAGAAAATTTTACAAAAAATAAACGATGCCACAAATAAAATTATAATTGAGGTACTATTTTGTATCAGATCTTTTTTTCTAGAGAAAAAGATAAACTAAATGAAATTTCATAAATAATAGAAGAACATATTGTAAATGAATTAATGATTGAAGAAAAACAAAAATAAAAAGAAAATCTGTTTGAAAGTGATAAATGAATTTCATACATATATTACAGATGAATAATCGAATTGATGATTTAAATCGAGAGTGGCAAGAACGATTACAGAATGAAAATGTAAAGTGGAAAAATGATATGCATGCATCGTACAAATATTGCAACAAGTAGCCTTAATTTTCTTCTTTCTTTTTATAATCATCCTTAATTTTTTTTTTCTTTCTTTTTTTTATAAATTGATAAATTAAATAAAATTTGAATGCATATATAAAAAAATTTGAAATGATTTTTTAGTACATATTTATTTCTGTAATAGATATTTTCTTAAATATTTCTGTAATAGATATTTGGCAGTTTTATATTTTAATTGAAATTTTGAATCGACTCTTTCACAATCACAATATGATATTAATTTTTAATTGAGGATAATAAAATAGTATAGCATAACGAAGATTTAAGTTTAAAAAAAAAACATTATGCAATTTCAATAGGCTAACAGAAAGTAAAAGTTCACATGAGATTAATAATGGATTATGGCGAATGGAACGACGTCTTGTTGAATTAACCGATCGTTTATCATCTATTCAAAAAATGGAACAAAAGTTGGAAGAAATTATTGCAATACTGAGAATGAATCACTGTTATCAATCATTTGCGGCGAATGATAAGCTGGTTTACATTTTATACCATAACTATACATCGAATGATAATTGATAACTGCGATTTATTAAAGTAAATTTAAATGATTTAATCATATTTACCGAAAATTTTTAGCCTATATCAGGGAATGAAAGTGTTGTTAGTACAGCAAAGACAGCACAAAATATGCAAAATGATCTCAATTTCTATGGAGTGGTCGAAATTACTGAAAATTATTCAATGGTTAACATTTATTTCATTTGAAAAGGGAGATTTTATCAGAAAATGAGTGTTAAAAGTAATTGGAAATTTTGAATCAATGAATATTCGGAAAATATAATTTAAATATTTCGATATATTTGAATATG